TCTGCCGAACTCTAAAGACCTGATTCGGTCCCCAGCGGGGCAGGCACAAAGCATATGCTCTGTTAATGAGGTAGTCGGATAGTCAAGTTGCAAGATTCTCACCTTGATACCCCCGACAACCTTCCCATATGAGGGTTTTTGCACGTCAGCTACACCTGACGATGTCTTAGATTCAGCCGTGCAGGGCTTTTTCACCTCTGGTTTTGGTGAAACCTCACTTGAACGCAAACGTTTGCTAACCTGCTTATGGCGGGTTAGTTCCCCCACCTGAGACATATTCTGCGTATGCCGCAGCTCTCGCTCCTGAAGTAAATTTACAGGGAGGTCAATTGGAGTCGAAAACTCGACAACCATCTCCTCTGTAGACTCGCTCCTGAACTAAATTTATAGGGAGGTCATTTGGAGTCGTAAACTCGACAACCATCTCCTCTGTACCTGGATTGAATTCTACAGGAAGATCAGTTGGAGTCGTAAACTCGACATACATCTCCTCTGTAGACTCGCTCCTGAACTAAATTTATAGGGAGGTCATTTGGAGTCGTAAACTCGACAACCATCTCCTCTGTAGACTCGCTCCTGGATTGAATTCTACAGGAAGATCAGTTGGAGTCGTAAACTCGACATACATCTCCTCTAGAGACTCGCTCCTGGATTAAATTTACAGGGAGGTCATTTGGAGTCGTAAACTCGACATTCATCTCCTCTGGAGAGTCGCTCCTGGATTAAATTTTACAGGAAGATCAGTTGGAGCCCTAAACTTGACATCCATCTCCTCTGTAGAATCGCTTCTGATTCAAGTTTACAGGGATGTCAGTTGGAGTCGTAAACTCGACAACCATCTCCTCTGTAGACACGCTCCTGAACTAAATTCACAGGGAGCCCCGTTGGAGTTGTAAACTCGACATCCATCTCCTCTGTAGACTCGCTCCTGGATTAAACTTTACAGGAAGATCAGTTGGAGTCATAAAGTCGACATCCATCTCCTCTGTAGAATCGCTTCTGATCTAAGTTTACAGGGAGGTCAGTTGGAGTCGTAAGCTCGACATCCATCTCCTCTATAGACTTAGCGTCAGGAAGAATTTTTTAAGTTTACTCTGTCCATAAAGGTCCCACGAGTAGCTAGGGAAAGAAGGTCAATCACGGCAGAGCCCCGCATTACCGTAACAAGGCGATGCTACGACGAGAGGGCCTTAGGATTAAGCCATTGTTGGGACGCCATTCAGTTAGGGAATAACAGAACCACAAGTGATAATGTCATTTCCGTATCCAGCGGGGCCACATTGCTCAACCCCCACATCCCAAGCCAATGCACTCGCCGAAAGCATGTATAGTGGTTCAGGCAGTGAAAGATGAACAAGGACAGCCCACCCGCTAACTGTACTACTATCTATAATACTGAATAAAATATGAAAAGAAATTACAAAGAAGTCATGTTCAATTTGCTACTATAATTAAAAATAATTATAGGTACGACACTGACCGGCAAAGGGCTTATCAGAATCCAATAGTAATTCAGTTGGAAAAGTCTATACCTGCACGATCTCCCGCCATCACGTTTGGCGTTTGCTGTACATGATTTTGACACTTTGCAAAACTAGATAAACTTTTCGATGAATATATTTCCGAATAATGTTAAGCTTTTCCACGTTGAAAACAATGTGCTAAGTACACTGCCTCAAAGATGTCGTGGAAACGTGTGCATATTATAACTTACAACTCGTCCAACTTCTTAAATCGTTATATCTCAGAAAAGAGCCTCTCAAGAAAAAAATGATTCAAAATTTTTTTTAGATGATTATCTGATCTACGATTTTTGTTCAAACTGATGAAATTTACCCTCTTCCTGAAACCTGAGAAAAACCCGTTTATGTGACCTTTGACCCCCAGGTAGAGGATCGATGACGATTTTTATGATTACATATATGATAGTGTTTTAAACAATCCTACCAACTTTGAGCTGGATGCAAATTTTGTACCCTCGAATGTCTAAATCGACCGGATAACCCTTAATGAAATGATTTTCTTAAAGAACACAAGAGTTTACTAAAGTGAGGAGGGAATATTTCAGAGATTCAGAATGTAATTACGAATCATAATGGGGTGAGAGTGACGTAAATTTGAATAATCATTTCAGATTCTTCTAGGACGGTTGAGAATAATCGTGTTAAAATGTCAAGGAAATTTTTATAGAAAGAGAAGTCCTGTGATTATGTTTGGGAGACGCATTTTCTGTTCTGAGATTGCTGAAGTAGAAAATGGTTCGAAGACGAAAACTTAATGTTATTTTGTCCGCCTCTACACAACAGATGCCAAATTTGTGAAATGTATCCACGAAAAAAATCTCAAGGATAGTAATATTTTTTTAACTGCAGAAATTCTCTATATTGTTCGTAACAAAATTGTTAATCACTATAATTTCACTATAATGAATATTCAATATATCCCACTCAGTAAAAATTGGCTAACGTAATCCCATTACCGAAATATGAGGTTATCAGTGAGCTCAAAGACCTGGGACCAATCAGCATTTTACCCGTTGTCTCAAAATTATTAGAAATAGGTATAAAAGATCAACTTGTGGAATTCTTGAAAACAAGTAATATTTTACCGGATACTCAATCTGGATTCAAAAAATGACACAGCTGCGCGACAGCCCTTCTGAATGTGACAGATCGTATCTTCCAGGCAGCCGACTCGAGAATGAATACTGTTCTAGTTCTCTTAGGTCTTAGACTATTCGAAAACTTTCGATACCCTGAATCATTCTGCTCTGGAATATATTCTACGATATATTGTACTCTCAGAAGAATCTGTTTTTTGACAGCTATCTAATTAGTTGAAAGGAACGAGTTGTATTCAATTCTCTCAAACAAGAGAACTGATATATTTGGTTCCACAGGGATCCATTTTGGGGCCAATTCCTTATGTAATTTTCGCAGCGTTTTTTAAAAATGTTATCTCGCATTGTTATCTACAAATGTATGCAGATGATAGTTTCTCAACTTCTGAGAGTTGTCGTTCGTATGGGGGCGACAGCTGATTAACGGAAAAACATTTCAAACAGATTTTCTAAACAGATACTCAAGTGATGTATTCCTCCCACCCTTCAGACATAGTGAATAACTGTCAGAGAATTGGCCTTGATAGAATTTTCAAAAAATCTAAAGATCATTCTCTCTCATTGAAACCAAATAAATCTAAAGCAATGCTGTTTGGGAGGCGAAATGACAGACTTCTTCACCAAAAAAATATTTGTGTTACTATCAATAACATCCCTGTACGGTTTTTTGATGTGGTGAAGAATTTTGGGTTCTGGAGAGATTGTTATTTGCGATTCGAAAAGCCTGCATCAGAATGCATTCGTTAAAGTATATGGAAACTAAAAATTTTGTTTGGGTCTCGTGCAACTTTGAATTTATATCCTGAAAAATACTTAGCGAGTCTCTGGTCCTTTCTTTCTTCACTTATTGCGATACGGTCTGTAGCTCTCGTCTTACGGCAACATCTACGCAAAAAAATCCAGAAAAGCCAAAACTATTGTCTCCGCTTCATCTACAGGGTGTTCCTTAAACACATGCTGATATTTGAGGAAGTAATTCTTAGACCCATTTTAAGGAAAAAACGTCCTATGGACGTATGTCCTAAACGCCTTAACTTTTGAGATACAGGGTGGCAAAGTTTCCAAAAAAATTCAGTTTTTTAATAATAACTGAGATAATTTTGTAGACATCTTTGGCATATTTGGTACATATGTTCCATGCCTCAAGGCGCATTTTCTGATGTACAATTTTCTTAATTTTCTCTGCCAGTGGCGTACGTACGAGTTTTGAAATGTATATTTTTGGCGAAAAAAATACTACGCCACTGCTTTATCTTGAAATAAAAATTATTTTTGAAATCTCCATACATTTTTGAGCACATTTGATTTGCTGGGTTTTCTTTGTCCGACGCATGGTTTTCGCTCAAAAAATTAAAAATCGCNCGTCTCAGGGAACTTCGCACAATCTCACAGGTGACTGAGGTGAAGTGAAAGGAGTTTTCAGTTTCTTCCGAATTAACATATCGATCTAATAAGGACAATTGGCGAGCAGATCTGATAGGTTGAGGTATGGAATTGAAGTGCTGGTTAATGAGATTGACGTCTTTTAATTCATCAGGGATATCTGATTTTTTGTTGTTCCTCAGGATATCAAGCGTTCTTAAGGTATTCCAAGTTGCTTTGGAATTTTTATTTCTTAAAACAAAGTCCAGATATGCTTTTTTCTCGCGTCGTATCGCACTACATGTATAATTTCTGAGGTCCTTATAGCTATTCCAATCGGCGATAGAGAAAGATTTCTTGTATTTACTCAGAGCTCGGTTTTTGAGTGCAATCATCATTTTTATATTGTAAGTTAACCAAGGTGCTGGGGGTTTAGTTACTCTCTTCGTTTGAGAAGGGGCGTGTTTTTCGAAAAGATTAAGAATGTTGTCGTTCAGGAAGGAGACCATACAATCCACGTTATCGAATTGATAGATGAGATCCCACTGAATATTCAGGACGTCTAAACGGAATAGATCGAAGTCGAAGTTACGATAATCGCGAAAAGAAACCATTTTAACTATTCTAGAAGAAACAGAAGCAATAATTTTGCACATCACTGACATATGGTCTGAAATTCCCTGAATATCATATACATCCGCATCTAATATTCTTTCCTTATCAGAGACTAGGACGATGTCAATAAGGGATTGAGAGTGAGCAGTTATTCGGGTAGGCTTCTCTATAACCTGATAAAGATCGAACGAATTTATAAAATCTGTTTAAAAATATTTTCATCTGAAGAACTGAGTTTATGTGGAATAAACTTCCTGAGAACGTTTTCCCAATAGGATTCGATCCCCGGCGATTCAAATCCAATGTGAATCGCTTCATTCGCGCAGGCACCGCTCTGGGAGCGCCTCAAGGATTTTCCTGTAGTGCTTGTGTTTTGTCCTTTGAAAAACATAAATACATTATCTACCCAAAAACAAACCTGTAATTCATTTCTCAACTGTACACTATCGAAGTGAATACATTCAAATTGGTAAACCATCTGAAGGATTCGGATGAAGCGTCATACATTCCGTGGTGGGTTTCAGAAGAAGAACAATTGTCCCTGTTTCTTCACCGTTTGTGCTGATGCTTTCAGCTCATTGATCATTCCTTCGTATTGTTTCACGGCGCCACTTAGTTTCTTTATATTCCTCAGAATCTTCAAGTTGGCTTCTTCTGTAGTTCGCACAATGTCATCGTTCACAGTCATGAACTGCTCGGTTTGTTCACTGACGGCGTTAATTTGATCAGCCAGGAATTTTCCACGTAGAGCTTCTTCCTAGAAATTCAAAAGTGTATTCGAAGTTAGAAATATTTTGTAATACTCTGTATATACAGTTTGTTCAGTGAAGTCAGCATCATATGTTTGGAGTACAAACTGAATAAGAAAAATGTTTTTGTACAGGGTGAGTCAAAAAAAATCCATTGAGTCATTGCTAACAGAAGAAACAATTTTTCGAACTGCTCAATTTTGTTTCGCAGTCATATCGATAAATACTATCTTTCAAAACTATTTTCTCGCATACTAAAGAATATTTTTATACTGCTTTTTTCTTTAAAAACCCAGTTATCCATGCCTGATTTCAAAAAATGAATCTCAGATTCTGTCAATAACGCCATGTGTGTTTCGCGTATAGATTGAATTATTTCCATTATGAATTTTGTATTGGAAGATATGGAGCAAATGCTCTATGCTTTGAAGGTAAGTGATGGAAACTGTCTCTTTGCATCTAGGATTCACAATGAGAAGTTTCCCGAAAGAGGACAACCAGATGGAAGGGGATTTAGGGTTCTTAAAACAAAATTTGAAAGTACTGATAATGTCAATAACGAGAAGTTCGAACACGTCTGCCCTGTAACAAATGGAGAGAATACATTTCAAATTGCTCTTGACCTTGTTGAAAATCCCCATGTGAGTACCCGAGACCTGAGCAGGGACTTAGGATTTTCTTAAACCAACGTATCTCGAATGATACTAGCAAGTAAATTTTATTCTTAACACCTGCAATTGATGCAAGAGTTGAGAGGGGAACATTTTGAAAAACGTATTCAAATGCATTTTTTTCGTTGCCTGAACCATCAACAGCGTTGGTCACTGAATGTTTGGGGTGGAATCATCATAAAAAGAGTTATCGGGACGGTCGCCTGCTTCATCTTTGGCCACCAGACCAGAGATGCGTATATTATCATGGGTTTAACCACCATCGTGTATAGCCAATATACCATGTCTGGTTTTAGCCCCCATGTTTTTCCTTAGGTGCATCTGGCGAGCATCAGTGCTACCTCTGCTTTCCTCTTTATCCTGTCCAAGTGTTGGTTCCAGGTCAGTTTGGGATCTAGGATAACTCCCAGATATTTAACCTGCCCCGACACTTGTATTTCTTCGCCTCGAAGTTTTAGAGGTCCGAGACCTTCCTTTTTAGTCCTCTTGGTGAATGCTACTATGGTCGATTTGGATGGGCTTATAAAGCACTGGAATTTTATTTCTTTACATAATTGTATATTTTTTGTCTTTGTCTACTGCGAATAAGTATGTGTTTATATAAATCACGGGATGTTTCAACACTCTTTGTAAATTGACGTACCACCCATGTATATTGTGCATATCGTAGTCAATAAAGCATTTCTTTCTTTCTTTCTTTCTTTAGCCACCTACAGCTTGTCTTGTCGATCCCTCTTCTCCTCGAACAAGAACTTGATATAATATCAAATCACAAAACATCAAAATAAAATAGATATTTCGGAACAAACTCATTGATTTCCTGGAGATTTTCTTGTCCAAAATAAGTGTTTCAAGTTGAGTCTCCAGAAAATCAATAAGTTTGTTTCAAAATATCTATTTCATTTTAATGTTTTGTGATTTGATATTATTGAATATTAAGTTCTTGTGACAATTTTCGGTGTTAACAAAAAATAAAAATAACTTTGCACCAAAAACTTTACTTTTCAAAAAAAATTACCGTGGTTAACACCATAGTTGTGTAATTTGTAATATTACAGGCTTTTAAAATGAACCGTCGTATACAGGACATGTCGTTCCAGCAAATTTTTTTTTCGTAGACCCCATTTAAAAAAAAATTGGTAAAAAAATAAAACTCCACTTAGATGATCATGACTTCAAATCTAGATGTATTTTTCAATGCTGAACAACTTTTTTGAATGATATTTTCCGAGATTTCTCAAAATAAGTGTACTTTACTCTCGTCACAAAATCAAATATTTGAATGCTCCTCGTATATTACGTGTGTTGTCCTGTATTTTGTTGGTGCATGTTTAGTTTCAGAGGATGCACAAACTTTCATCAGAAATTACTTTTTGTAATTGTAATAAATAAGTTTCCCATATGGTGCATACTTTGAGGATGACACTTTATAAGCTGAATCAGAGAGAAATGATCAGCAATCTCTATAAACCCAGAAAATTATTTGGTATCAGGGGAATATACCATTTATAAATATGCATATTCATTCATGATTTTAAGAATAATAAAAAACATTCAGTACTCAATTCAATTCATGATCATAATTCATGACAAATTCAAAATATAGTTTCACAAGCAAAGGTCAGAAATGTATTTTTCATGACGGAGTTCATGTAATGAAATACCAATATAACAATATAAAAAAATAATCATACACAATTAGTTACCTCGACCATTTTTTGGGTATCATACACAGCCATTTTCATCTTTTCGTACATCTTAGAATGATCCGATAGCTCAACTTCGGTTTGTTGTTTGTTCTTCTTCTCGACCTCCATCTTCTTCTCGTATTGTTCTTTCACAGCCTTCAATACTGTCAAAGCGTTTTCGCAAGCTTCTTCTGATTCCTTGAAAAGAAAATTTCGTGAAATAATCGTAGAGTCTAAATTTGATTCAAGACAAAATGAGATTGTTTCGTGTGACGTAATTTTAAAATTGAATATTGAGAATCAAAATCAGTAATCTAGTCATTATTACTCAATTTATTTCCGAAGCATTAGCTAACAATGGCCAAGTTGATGTTATATACACGGATTTCTCTGAAGCATTTGATAAAATGGATCATGGTGTCTCGCTCAATAAACTGATGAGTTTTGGTTTTTCAAATACTGCCTGTCAGCTAATGTCATCCTATCTGACATGTAGAAAACAATTCGTGTCCTATAACGGTTATGAATCTAGAACATATATAGCTTCTTCTGGTGTGCCTCAGGGCTCCAACCTGGGTCCTTTTTTGTTTTTATTGTTTATTAATAACTTATGTGAAAGTTTAGCTTGTGAGCGGTTATGCTTCGCGTATAACTTGAAATTATTTTCTATAATTAAGGAAGTAGGTGAGTGTGTAAATCTTCAATCTCAATTAGAATTTCTTGTTGCTTGGTGTAGCAATGATAAATTGAAACTCAATGTGGAGAAATGTAAAATAGTGAGTTATAGTCGGAAAAAAGAGGTTTATACATTCCCTTATGTAATACAGGATTCAGATCTGCTGAGATGTAATGAGATCAAAGACCTAGGGGTAATATTCGATCATAAATTAACATTTGGTAGACATATTTCATAATATGGAACCTCCATACCCATCACGCGACTGCGGTGTGGAAGAAACCATCCTGGCAAGCCATGATGAACCCCTCAGTTTCCGACTTCAGCCCACTCGACCTGAGAAAAGTGAAGGTCAGGCGCTTTGATAAGCCAAGGTCTCCAATGTTATTGAAGAAGACCCCGTGCATTGGCTTATCCATGTGTTTCCGCAGAAGTAAAGTGATCTCTGCGGCTTTTATGTGAGCTTTTATCTGAACGGGTTCCAACTCGGTGACAGAGTTGTCCCCTCGATCAGTGTCGAAAACTATACCGAGTTCATCTGCTGCTCGGGTAGCTGCCCTAAAGAGAATTGCTCCAATTCCTGCTCTCTCATGGTCATGGACCATGCAGAGAAGGGGATCCGAACTCCTGACGACTTTACAGGCTGTATCCAGCACCATTCTGTCATGTAGACACTCCAAACTCAAAAGTCCACGGCCTCCCTGTTGTCGGGGGAAGTACAACCATGGAACGGACGATTTGGGATGCAAACTCCTATAAAGATGCATCATTTTCGGGTCTTTAGGTCGAGTTGATACAGCTCCTTCGAGTCCACTTCACTACTCCAAACGAGTAGAGTAAGATTGGAACGGCAAGCATATTTGTTGCAGCAACTTTGTTCTTCCCCGACAGTTCCGGTGACCAGATCTGTCGAAGTTTGTGCTGATACTTGCCGCGGAAAGAGTTCTTCACTGCTGTTACCTCTTGTGAGTGGCTATGTTCCACCTCGAGGTAAGTATACGTCTCTCCGGCATCCAGATGGTGTAAGATGCTTCCATCTACGAGCTGCACATTCTCTCCGTAGTCTCCGCATCGTCCTCTTTTGAGATGGACCATTGCACATTTGTCTATCCCGAATTTCATACCGATAGCATGCGTGTACTCTTCCACCACCCTCAAGGACTGATGGAGATCTTTCTCTCCAGAGGCATAAGGTTCAAGATCATTCATATAAAACAGATGGGTGACCTTGCGCCTCCGGTTTCCGGGGGTGCCACATTTATACCCTCGAGTGTTTCTGAGCGCAACGGATAATGGCAATAGTAAGATGCAGAAGAGAAGGGGACTGAGGGAATCACCCTGAAATACACCCCTTCTGAAAGTTACCCACCCTGTTTGGACTCTTGCTTGACCAGTTGTTATGGTGAAGCGAGTTCGCTAAAGTGGTATCAATTGTTCAATGCATCTCACTATTTTGTCGGGTACCGCAAGGCATATGAGCAAATGCAAGATGAGCTCATGCGAAATTGTATCAAATGCCTTACGGTCATCAATGCAGGCCATAGAGAGGTTACGCTAATATTGTATCGACTCCTGCGTTACACATCTATCAATGAGCAGGTTCTCTTTACATCCAGCGACTCCTCTCTTCGACCCTCTCTGCTCACATATCCGTTCGAACACTCGGTCAACTGCGGTGATTATTTGTGTGCATAAGATGCTTGTAAACAACTTATAACACGAATTCAAGCATGTTATCGGTCTGTAATTCTTAGGAATCGACAAATCTCCGCTTTTGGGGATAAGAACGGTTCGCCCCTCGACAAACCAAAATCCATCGGTCAAACTGAACTCATTTCAAAGAACACGCAGCACATATCCGATTCAGAAGACCAAAAAAATCTAGTGTTCTTCAACACGACTTCAAGAACCGTCATAGAATGAATGAAAACTGTCTGAAACTGTTGAAATCGGTACATGACACTAGATTTTTTGATATTTCTGGAAGTCTGGAATCAACAAAGTGTGGCATGAGAACTATGAACTTTTCAAACAGACGAGGATTCAAAGTTTATTGTCCTTCCATACCAAGATGCACTAACGGCTTGGATCGTATTTTCAAAAATATGAACGTGAAAGTACACATCAAAATTTCTTGCTCGCTTCAAAAATTGTTAGGTAACCCCAAAAACAATATGTTGGAAAATGAAGAGTCCGAGAAATAGCAACTGAGACGTGAGGACTGTGACAAAAAATCCATCGGTCAAACAAATCGAGTCATTGAAAGCCATTTCAAAGAACATGCACAAATCCGATTCAGAAAACCAGAAAAATCCGGTGTCGTTCAACACGACTTGGAGAACAGCCATAACTTAATTGAAGATGTCTGACGCTGTTGAGATCGGTACATGACCCTGAATTTTTTTATGTTTTCGGAGTCTGGAAATAACAAAGTGTGGCATGATAACTATCAACAGTGTCAAAGGTTTCATTTTAAACATCATTTACATTTTTATGAATCACTCTGTTAATATTAGCACCTCACTCTTTCGAGGCTATTTTTCTTATAACATTGCACGCTTATATAATCAGTTGCTCATCGAATTGAAATCACTACCATCACTTAGTTTAAAAAAAAATCTGAAGGGATATATGCTTCAATCCGGTTCTCTTCTTATATAATATTGATCAGTCATTACCTATATCAAATATTAATTTACCATAAATATGTAGGAAATATCAAAATTATCGTCATATTATCATATTAAATTTCTTGTGTGTTCATGACATGACTTTTCGCATTCAAAATATTGTTGTCAGTCATGCCCCAAACAAAATAACGCCAGCCGCCACTGGTAGCCGTAAACCAATTATGATATGGCTAAGTGCGCGCCCAGTCCGACCGAATTTTCGCGAATGTTCGATGTTCGCTGCGGTTCCAGATGTGACGAGAATAATGCCACCGGCTTCCATGGAATTCCGATAAATTTTCCACCGCCTTCGATTGCCAAGACATTCAAATAATAGTTGAAGTTTTAGTTAAAGTGTTTTGTTATATTCATAGTGAAATACAATTGAGTTTGATTGTTGTTCAGTGTAGTCAATTATTAGTAAACCCACGAGGAAATTGTAACAATATCAAATTCTCATTCATTTTCGACTCTCTCCTGATTTCCTCTCTTCCTTTTCTCCTTTTCTTCATCAAGTTTGATTGCAAAAAATTTCGTATTAATATGAGTTAGCTGTTGCTGGTTGGATGTAAGACCAATTTCTGCCTTGATTTATCATATGCAAAAGTTGAATTCTGTCATTTGTTAACTTAGGTTAGTGTATCTTGTACTGAATAACCTTTCATTAAAAGCATTCATTATTATTACTATTATCATTTCAAACGTTTGTTCAACTCAATAAATTTGAAATCTACTATTTGGTTTTCAATTTTGTTGATGTCAAATTCTGGACAAAATAAAACTCAACTAGGAAATAATATATTGATATGAAAAATTCGTACAAACCTCTGCCATATGCTTCATTTGTTGACCCTCTTTGCGCAATTCTTTCCTCATTTGTGAAATGATATTTTCGTGCCTCCTTTGCATCCTCAAGGCTATCACCTCTTTGTAGTCGGATAAGTATTCCAAAAACCTGAAATTAGTTATATATTTTTCAAAAGTTATCTCTGACTGAATATACAAAAAACAAATTTGAATTTCAAAAAAAAAACAAATAGAATTTATAGATAAAAAGGCCCTCTAACAACTTCCAAATTTGTATTAGGTCACAACAAAACTGAAAGGTCCACTAGCGTTCAGACTTCAGATTTACCTACAGATGAAACTCTTTCGTGGAATATCCAGGACACTGTAAGTGTTGTTCAAAAAATAAGGTGAATGTTCAAATTTTGCGGATCACGTACATCCAATCAGCTTTTTTTATGTTGGTACACTGGTTTCGAACATATTTTAACAGTTTCAGCTGTTTAGCATGTTTAGTTTGTTGATGAGAGGCATGAGCATCACTCAGAAACTGGTAACGAATCATTGATATATGTATCCATTTGATTTTTCTATATCTACTTCCTTTAGATAATTATAACAAAGATAAAAGTTCAGTTTCAGAAAAATCGGGAGTGTATAAATTATCATGTGGGTCATGTCCAATGTTTTATATAGGTCAAACTGGAAGAACGCATAAAGGAACACAAAAATAGTTTCCAGAATGGAAAAATAAATTCCGCATAAGACACTTGTTTAATAATAGAGGGAAATGAGTCCAACCATGAATAAAAGCCCCTCCAAACAATTGTTTGGTTTCAAGCTCCGAAAGGTGAATGAACACCTTGAAGTGAACCGCAGTCCTGAAAGATACTGTCAGAAGTCCATGAATCTTCTTGCCTTCCAGGTATTCAATATTTGTTTGGCAAAGCCTATAGCGATGCCAATGTTCCGATGAAGCTGCTTGCAGAACCTTCCTTTTCAGGGGAGTCAGTACATTCCAGGCCAGTATAGTCAAAAATCCAAACCAGAGACAATTTGTTAAGTATTCCTATTGTGGAGAAATGTTTTTGACAATTTGCTACCAATTTAGCATGAGGTTGGATTCTACCAATTTCTTCGCACACAATGGGGAATGTTCCTCAATTTGGGTTATTACAGCAAAGGCAAGTTTGAACAAAATAAAGTTGAGTTTGATTCATGTGTTTTTCAAATTCACTTCGAAATGTAGTCAAATATAGATATTCTACCTTAAAAAAGGAAAATTATCTTTATGAATCAACAATTAAGGCAAAATATAAATTATACCACTTCCACAAGCCACATAAACAACAGTTGTTTTGTTATTTATTGATATAGAGTAAGATAGGTTAGGTGCACAATATGTCATATGTTACAGAATGTCTTGGAACTTGGAACATTAGTGAACAGAACAGCACGCCTCTGGAATATATGATCTTTGTCTCATACAGGTAACAGATTCATTGTCCTTCATTAGCTATAACCGATGTTGCCAAATGATGAAATAGTAACGAATCCCTTCAAATGTTGAATGCATTATTTCATTCCTCTTTTTTAAGTATTCAAATAATTTTTTTAAGAAAAAGGTTGAAATCATAAGTGTAAAATGCGTTGTTTTAGAGCTCTTTTATGAAAACGACTTGATTTTCGTCAGGAGGAACATTCCCCATTCAATAGCATAGATTCCCGCTTGAAATACATAGGTCCCTAGGCAGGTTGATATCTCTGTTCTGAGTCTGCTTGCTATACAATTATATCCAAAACGTTCATTCTCAATTTCAAAAATATTTTGATAGAATTCAAGAAAGAAGTCAAAATTTCAGGTTTATATCTAGATCAGAAATTATCTTGGAATTCACATATCAGTCGACTTTTATAAAATAGAAAATAGTATTCCTTTTGAATATTTGAAAACAGTTTATTTTTCTTTAATTTATTTGAATCTTCAATACCTAACATCAGTTTGGGCAACTGCTAATTCTTCTCATTTGAAACCTTTACAACGGTTACAAAATAAAATGTATATATGAGCTGAATCATAGAGACAATACTAGCAATCTGTATAAACCTAGAAAATCATTTGATACCAGGGAAATATTACCATTTCAAAATTTACATTTTCATTTATAAAATTGAGAATTGTAAAACACATTCAGTACTATGTTTTAACGGAATTCATTCAATTCGTGATCATAATACATGGCAAATACAAAATATATAGTTTTACAACCACACAAAAGCAAATTTGGTCAAAATATAGTTTTTATGACGCAGTTAATTCATATAATAAAGGCACAACTAAAATAGATTGACGATTTTCTAGTTTAACATATTTTTATTTGTTTTAGTTGTTGTATTATTCTCGGAATATTTTTTCAGTATGTATGTTACATTGTGCCTACTATAAACATGTTATGTTTTTTGGGATTGATGAATTTATTATTATTATCATCTTTCAAGACATGATACCAGATATGATACCAGCAGAATGGCGCAACATATATGATATATTGCGTCATTACTATGGTACGAAGGAAGTACGGCAGTATTACGAAAATATCTACAATGGAGGATTAATTCATAGATATTCCGATATTTTTTGGCCAGCTAGGTCACCAAATTCAACCCCATTAGAATTTTTCTTCTGGGGTCACTTGAAAGAAGAGGTATATCAACACAGGCCATTCACAAAAGTAAACCATTTGGAAACAGTTATTACGGAAATAATTTAGAGTATAAGTTGGAATATAATAAGAAATATATTGAGGAAATTATCTTTCAAAACAGCAACCTGTATCAGAAGATAAGGGGGATACGTTGAAGTAATAGTAAATTGTTGATAAACTATCACACGCGTGTTACGCGTTTAACATCATACTACCGGGGATGAAGAGTCCCGGGCCTAACACATAGATGGCGCAAGTCTCATAGCATTCACCGCATTTTCAGTTAGTACCAACTTTCAGAAGAAAGCTATTGAACTTTCATGATATTTTACTCATATTGTGCTAAGAATGACACTACTTTTGTTATTTTCAAAACAATGGATCAAAAACAATTTTGTGTTTCAATTTTACACTGCATCTTGGTGGAAAAAAATAACGTTCAAGCGAAGTAATCGCTTGAAAAGTGTTATAAGGACTCTGCTCTATCAGAAACGACAATTAAACGTTGGTTTGCTGACTTCAAACGTGGTCGTAGAGACACTGATGATGCAGAACCCAGTGAACGTCCAAATGAGGCAGTTACACCAGAAAACAAAAAAAAAAACACAAAATCTATCTGAATTATCGAAAAGTGAACTTGCGTGAGTTGGCTGACTATCAGTGGTGCCATCAGTACCACACCCTCAGCGGCCATGGAGATCTTTCTAGATCTACCTCCTCTCCACATTTTTCTGGAAAGAGAGGCTAGATGGACTGCATATAGACTCGTGCACATTGCCAATTGCACAAATCAATTCAATGCAGACTGCAACAGACTGTTGGCTGACATCGGAAGTCACAGCATTCTGAAAATGACCTCTGACTTTATGCCTCCAACTGTCAACTACAAACTGCCTTATGAAGTACTATTCCCCAGTAGAGAGGACTGGATCCTGCGGAAGAAGAAAATATTAAGAGCAGATAGTTGTTGGTTCACAGATGGATCAAAAACACCTTCCGGTTTTGGTGCAGGTGTTTTCAGTCGCAGACCCAGGACAGAGTTATCTACCTGCCTAGGAACTTATGCGACTGTATTTCAAGCGGAAATTTACGCTATTGAATTGTGTGCGGAGAGATTGGATAAATTCAACCTCACTCACAAGTCAATAAAAATATTCTCGGACAGTCAAGCGGCGTTGGAAGCTCTTGGCTCCTACCGAGCAACGTCTAAATTGGTAGCAAACTGCCAAAAAAGACTATCCTCGATAGGGAGACTTAACAGATTGCCTCTTGTCTGGATTCCTGGCCATACTGGCCTGGAAGGCAATAAAGCTGCTGACTCTCTTGCAAAGGAGGGTGCTGTAAGCGGCTTCATTGGACCAGAACCTGTCATTGGCATCGCTTTGGGCTTTGCCAAACAAACACTGAACACCTGAATGGCAAGAAGAGTTATGGACTTCTGGCAGAATCTTCCAGGACTGGCTCACTCCAAGGCGTTTATTCACCTTCCGAAGCTTGATTCCAAACAGTTGTTGGACTACAGTAGGGATGAACTACGATGTCTAACAGGCCTTGTTACAGGTCACTGTCATTTGAATCATCACATGCAGAGACTTGGATTGTCGGAAGACAGTGTGTGTCGCCTCTGTCTGGAAAATGATGACATTGCAGAGCATATACTTTGTGCCTGCCCCGCTGGGGACCGAACCAGGTTCTTTGAGTTCATCAGATCCGTACTCTCACCATCTGACCTGAGAGACCACTCACCATAAAAACTAATCGGATTCGTTAAGAAGCTAGGTTTATTTGGCCGAGTGTGAATAAGTGTGAGCCACAATAAACCCTTATGGGTTGCGGTGGAGGGTCGAATAGACCCACTCACTTTAGACCTGCCTACCTAGCTGACATTGTAAAGATATCAAAAGAATATGTTGGTTTTATATTGCATGAGCATTTGACTATGAGAAAGCTCTTTTCAAAGTGGATGCCGCGCGAGCTTACGGTTGGCCAAAAACCACTTGATGATTCTGAGCAGTTTTTGGCCATGTTTGAACATAACGAACCGGAATTTTTGCGTCGATATATGACAAAAGATGAAACATGGATCCATCACTTCACTCCGGAATTAAAACGATTGCCATCTGAGTGGAGACCAACTAGTAAACCTCACCCAAAGCTCCCGAAAGCACAAACATCGGCTGGAAAGGTTATGGCCTCGGTATTTTGGGATTTGCGTGCTGTAATATCAATCGATTATCTTGAGAGGGGTAATGCCATCAACAGTACATATAATATAGCGTTATTGGAGCGTTTAGAGGCCGAAATTGCAAAGAAACGATTGCATATGGCAAAGAAAAAAAAGTTGATTCATCAAGACAACTAACCGTGTCACAAGTTAATCAAAACAATAGTAAAAATATGAACTTTGAATTGTCTTACATCCACCGTATTCGCCAGATTTGGCTCCTACCGACTATTGGTTGTTCGCAGACCTCAAAAAATGCTCACCGGAAAAAAATGTTGCCATATGAAGAGATTATTGCTGAAACTGTGACATATTTTGAAGCAAAAGATGAATCGTTCTACAAAAGTGGTATTGAAGTCTTAGAGCGGCGCAAAAATGATTGATGATGAAGATTACGTTGATGAATAAAATCAATTTTCAACAAAAAAAAAACGAGTTTTTTTCTTCAGTCCTGGGACTTTCCAGCCCATGTGTTGAGCACTGGATAGAGGTTGTTTCAAATTCGATACTCAACATTAGGATCTCGAAAACTATGAGAGATACGAAGATGGTTGAATTGGAGCAAAGTTGCGCATTTGCCTGACTAATAGTATGCCGTTGAAAAAGTTGTGAAATTCCCAGCATATCCGGAAATATCCGGATGGTTTTTCATTTTTTCTGGCTTCATTTTTCGAAGGAGTCGAGAATAAATTGCACTTCCACATTGCCACTTTTTCCCTGCTACATAATTTCATCAACTTCATTTCTTCTTATGGGCCTCTACATTGGATTCTTTCTATTCTGAATAGAATCAGGTTTTACCTTTTCAATGATGTATCATGAATTATAATTTTTTTTGAAACATTGGAGATATTGAAAAAAAATAATTCTTATCATAATAGGCTTTGACTTTGATGTTTCCAAATTTGACTTTCAATTTGTTACACTCAATAACATTTTGTTATTGTACAAGTCATTGAATTTTTGACAAAAAATGGCTTTCACGAATGAAGAAAACATAGATATGATACAAATTTATTACAAATACGATAAAAACAGTGTTAGGACATCTGAAATGTATTTGAACTTGTATCCCGAAAGATGACAACCACATCAAACTATATTCAAGATATTGGATCAAAATCTCACCGAGTTTGGTTCGTTTGAAAAGCCAACGAAAAAATACGGAAACAGAATCAACAATCAAAATTTGATAAATGAGATATGTATGAGGTAAATCAGAAATTGTGTCCTCATTTTAACCATCTTCGTATCTCTCATAGTTTCCGAGATCCCAATGGTGAGGATCGGATTTGAAACGCCCTATATATGTAGTTAATAGCTAATTATTGTGAAATGAATCATTTTGTTATGTATCATTCATTTTAATTCATCATCAGACAAAGCAACAAAGCAACATAGAACTTAAGAAGCGTAAAGATTATCAAATTTTCAACGAATAAAGAGATAACAGTTGGAAGTTTACAACAGACTCACTGTATATTAATATTTTTTGTATATATTCCCTGTATGAACCATTGTAGTTGCTTGGGAATGAATAATAAATGAAAAGTCACTTCTATAAAATCAACGATATGCTGAAATACCAGATAGAGACCGGAATATTTTCTAATCTCGAGGATTCGTCAAAAATTCAGATACTCACTTCTTGACTAAAGGAAGGGGGTAATTTTTCAGGAGTCTATCCATGTGTTGTTTAGTAGGTGCTTTATCAATCGCTTGTTCCCACATAGCAGCTGGTAGTTTATATATATCTTCCGGAAGGGGTTCAGATATATCAAAGAATGACTTTGGCATTAATTTCTCTTCCAAATCATCAAGTATTTCTTCACGTTTTGCCACCTGAGAATCAATCGGTCAACCATTTATTTGCCGAGAAATATATAATTTATTTACATAAGACAGTAGTAACATAAACAATAACAAATGAAAACATATTCTAGACAAAATGAATAGTGGTAATGAGTTCGGCACTTTAATATTTGATTTAAAAAAACATCAATATGAATTTCATTTTGTAAGTAGAGTTACCAAGCATTCAACTATTGCGAATATAATTCAGAATTCACACACCTATATAGTTGTTTCAATTCAACGAATTTAATTCAACAGTTCATGTCATAACTGCGGAAAAGTTTTCGAACAAAAGGTATGTCAAAATACTACTCTTATCGTGAAAACCTATTTTCATTCTCCATAAATTATAGTGTTGTACAAGTTACATTAATCGTCGATACCAGAGAAACTAAAAATATCCATATTTCCAAAGATTAAATAAAGAATAAAAGAGAAACAAAATGTATTGCCCAACAGATGGATCCATTTACAGGACAATATATAATATAATGATACAGGATAAATGAAGGCTACTTGAACTTGACATATTGAGGATTTGACAAATCAAGAATTAAATTCACATTTATGATCGAATTGAAAAAAAAAAACAGAAATGTTAGTTTTTTCTGTAACGGGAAAAAAGTTTGACATTTTATCTCTGACGACAGGTAACAAAATGACACTTTTTATGAATTTACTTTTTCCTCAGGAAAGAAGTGAGTTCTTTTTCCACGGATATACAGGGTGTTCCTTAAACACATGCTAATATTCAAGGAAGTAATTCTTAGACCCATTTCAAGAAAAAAAAAAATGTTAATCGAAGGTTTTCACGGACATGAATATGTTGAAATTATTCTTCGGGTTTGTTCCGTGTGGTGTATTGTCATCCCCGATGGGAATGAATTTTGCAAGCATATATATATGTATACATGAGAGGAGCTGGTGGAACTATACCTACCTTGAACTATACCTAAAAAATCAGATGTCTGACAGATCAACGGGACTCTCATTTTCAAAATAAACATGATAAATAACATGATGAATAAACTCGCTATAATGAATAATTGAGCAGAGGAACAGACGCATGATGCTGTGGTGAAGCACCTAAATCATAAATCAAATATCTCACCTTATCTCTCCGAACCTTCACTCTGTCGAAGAGAAGAAGAAGTAATTCTATCCTTCTCTGGGACTCCTCCAACGCTTCATATTGGGCGTATTGTTCTCTCTCTGTCAAATCGTGGATGAGCTGCGCCAGGAGACCTTCCACAGTCTCGTTTTCAGACATTTCTTTTCCTGCGAGGGAGTATAAAGTTTGAATTTTCGAAAAATTTAAAAAAAATCTATACTGTTGAATATTTTGAGAAAAAATTTAATTCGCTTATCAACGGTCAACTGAGATTTTGCTTAAAATTAGAGCCTCTTTGCAATATTGTTTCTCGTGTTTTCTCCCTTGAAACGATTCTAATTGTCAGTTCTTATAGGATATATCATAAAACTCTAGAGATATTTATAAGACAAGATAAAGACTGGTTTCACGTATATATTGCCACCAAACGTGAATCATTGAAACGTTTTATTTCAATAAATTTGTATAAAACCGAGTAGTTTATCATTCGATACGAAATTTTATTGTTTTCGTTCATTAGTTACCAGGGGATCCAGCAGGTTTGATTTTTTGTCCTTTACTTTCATGCATAGGTAAAATGTTTTTTTCAGTTCAAAGTTCCGTTTGTGTTCTGAAATTATCTGTTTGAAATTCCTGGATGTTCTTCTAAACATAACCTACATGTTATTGTATACACCTGATATATTTTCCTTATTGTTGTAAATCGTGCCCTAAAGAAAATAACGTCAGCCACCACTGGTAGCCACAAAACAATTGTGACGTAGCTAAGAGCTTGCAAATGTTCGATGTTCGCCTCCGTTCCAGGCATGGCGTTGCTTCTAGAATAATGCTACCAATACAGTCAAGTGAAAGTTACAGTGCGGTTCGCAAAGCGATCTAGTAAGACAATAGATATTCGAATAAAAGTTTTAGTGGAAGTGTTTGTTGTATTCAAAGTGAAATGAAGTTGAGTTTGATTATTGTTCAGTTTAATCCATTATTGGTCAACCCATGGGGAAAACTTAACATAATCAATAATTGATTTTTTGTTCTTCATAAGTCTACCCATTATATCTACCATTCTATATGCTACGTTGTTGTTCGGTTGAGTTAGTAGATTTTTTCATATATTTTTCTAGGTGTTACTGTTACTTTCAACTTGAAGATGTATTTGATCAATGGCCTGTTGTTGAGAATGTAATGGAACATGTTTAGGTTGAACTTTCCAATAATTGTAATTGATTTTGACAAAATCTGAACCATTGTAGTTGCTTG